AAAACAAAAAAAAAATGTGAATATAGTTAAAAGGTAAAACTTCTCTTTGTAAAGAAAAAGACAGCATAGTTTTCAGACTCAACCCGATCTAAGGCCCAGGTTTCAAGTCTTGGCTGGTTACTCGGTCGACTAGATCAATTTCCTTTTAAAAAAAATCAAAATGATGTCAGTTTAATAAAAAAAGCATAAAAGTTAACGGGTTGCAACTGAGTTTTTAACCGGATTAATCAGGTTATCGAGTCAATCTGCCAAGTCACACCTAATTTTTCTTTCCTTTATTTTTTCTTTAACCCGGCCTGGTTCTAGTCCAGGGTCGGCTGGGTCCCGAATGGACCTGATGGGCTGGGCCAAATTTCAAAACTATGAGAGACACGATGATAATAATGGTGATAATAATAATAATGGTAACTGCCTTTAAATATTTATATTTTTTGTTATTTCAATGATGATGATGATGATGATAAATGATAACGGTAGTAGTAGTGATAGTAGTAGTAATAATAATAATAATAAGAACAACAACAACAATTATGATTGTGATGGTTGTGATGGTGGTGGTAATAATAATAATAATAATGATACTATAATAATACTAATAATAAGAATGATAATAATGATAAAATTAATAAAAAAACAACTAAAAAAAAAGAGGTTTTTACATGAGCACATGGATATACATTATTCACTACAATAGTTTGTCTTTTTTTGAAGAAAAAAAATGGCCTTAAAGCTAGAAGCATGTTTGTATTTTAGTATAATTTATTAGCCTTTATAGATTTGGCTAGAAATATTTTTATTTATTTAATATTTTTAATTTTTATAAAATAATAAAAATATCCTTGAAGATGAAAAAATCAACATAACAGGGGTAAAGATATCTCAATATTTTTATTTTTTATAAACATTCAAATTACACATGCATTCTCGAATCATAGAAATGTAAGTAATTTGGATAAAAGGTATGATAAACTTTTTTTTTATTGCTGATTTGATTGAAAATGATAATGTAATTTAATATTTAAATAATATTTTAAAAATTTAAAAATTGCTAGCATATTTGAATCATCATGTACTCTAAAGGACATGTGTTGTGGCTTCCAATGATTAAAAAAAACTTTCATCATATATTTTTATTTTACATTATCTATTTTTTTATTATGAATAGTATATGCTGTTTAAAAAAATAAGTAATGTTATCATAAATTTAATTAATGTTGTTACATGATTGATTTTTTATATTTTTTAAAATTTTATTTTAATAAAGTTACTTTTTATACAAAAAATAATGGCTGGCGTAACTGAAAATCACAACTACCAATATTAATTGTAATTATAGTTGAATGTGGATTTAGGATATTATATATATATATATTTTTTATTTTAGAGTTATTAAATATTTTTTTGAATTTAAGAAGTAGGTTATTGATATTTATAAAATGTTTTTAGGTAAAAAATTTTTTTACCTAAAGAAATTAATTTGAATAACTATAATTTAAAATGTATTTTGAATAAAAGTTATTTTCTTAGAGTAAAAAAAACTCATACCATGCTTTTAAAAAACCATCTAATCATACCATAACTTTTAAATAAAATTATAGCTTTTTATAGTAATATTAAGAATTATTTTATGATTGAATGTAACATGTAAAATATACATATATTTTTTAAAATTACTCATGAATATTCAATGAAAATAGAATCACCACTGCGGCGAACACCTTGTTGATGGCGTCTCTCCAGCCCTCGGTGATGGCTTCCTTCTATGGTGGCGACTCCGTAACTAACGCAGCCTGATCACTCGTTTCCCGGCTTTGTAAGCCCACGGAATCCATCTTCAACAACTTCGGCACTGAGGTTGAACAAGAAGAGCCCAAGAAAAACCTGAAACGTAGCAGATATTCTATCACAAGAGTAAACAATTTCTTTATTAAAATTACCATGCTATAAAGTTTACGAAAAACAAACAACCCTATTTAAAATTAGTTTTTTGAACTCGATTTTTTAAAGAGGAAACATTAAATTTCCCAGACTCAGTAGGACAACATAAAATTCCTAAATTGAATAAAAAACAATATTTATTTCTCCGGAAATTCTCATGCATTACCATCTCCTGTTCGAATCTCTCAAGTGAATTCGAGTTTTCCATTCTTGTTTGGAATTAGAACTGGAAAATAAGTCAGTTAATTTTATCACCTTGGTGTTAGTGGTTTTGCTGAGAGAAAAAAAAGATGTCTATATATATATATATATATGATGATCCTTGGGAGCTAGAGTAGCAGTACCGGGTGGCACGTGGAAACAGATGGAAACTAGGAATCGGGGTATGTTTTGACCACCTTCTCTATCTTTGTCAACGGAAGATTTTATGATATACAAGATATCCAATTAGTTAGTTTATGAGATTTATTTAAAAAAAGAGACAAAATATAATCTATGATAAGAAATAAAAACAAAAACATATTAACTTCCCCTTCTTATATTTATTTATTTATTTAAAATGAGTTAAAAAAATAACCACCAACTACTTCCTAAACATTATAAAATTTGATATTGTTAGGCAGGCATCCCAGAGTTACTGCTTGTTGTGTGTAGGAAATTAGGAATGCTTTCTGTGTTCTGATGGTGAAGTGGCTGGGGAATACAATATAGCACCTGCCTTGGTAAATGACGGGTTGGGTGACTTTTTCAAGGCTCAGGCTGTTCTTTGAAGTCTAGAGTCTTGACGCCGTATATGCTATTTTTTTTTTAATTTTTTTATTAACCCATCATCTGTTTTTAATTAACTGTTTTTAGAATAATATTCTTTAAAATAGAATTATTAAGACAATATCTGAAGATTTACCCAGTTATTTTAAGTAAGATTATATAATATTAGCAACTATTTTATTAATAATTATATATAAACCTAACTTACATAATATCTTAAAATTTTTTCTCACGGATATTTAGTGAGAATCAAATGTCTATTTTAATATTTTTTTATTATAATTTTCTAAATTAATTATGCTTTTATTTTTACATGTATCTGTGTTAAAATCATTAAGACATGATTTTTTTTTGTTATGACTTGTTTTTGAAATTATAACAAGATTTTTATTTAAAAAACCTTATTTTTTATTAAGACCTCGTTTGTTTGTTGAAAAATGAATTTTGAGAAAGTGAATTTAAGGAAAATAAATTATTTTCTAATGTTTGGTAGTGTAATAAAAAATAAATTGAAAAATACTTTCTAATATTTGGTTGTGTCATGAAATATAAGCTGAAAAATAATTTATTAATATATTATTTTTTTCAAGTTTATTAAAATAATGAAGAACAAATATTACAAATTAAAATGTTGAATGAGAATGAAGGTGAAATTTTTTTCATAAAATATCTCAAATAAAATAAATAATAATCAAAATAATAGAAATCAAATCTAAAAAATAAAAAGAAAGATGAAGAAATTAAAATACTAATATTAACATTTTATAAATTATTTCAAATAAAATAAGTAATAATTAAAAGAATGAGGATCAAATTTGATAGATAAAAAAATTTAATAAAAAAATAGTAAGGAAAAAGCAAATAACAATTATAAAAATAAGAACCAAAGTTAATATAAAAATTAAATTTTAAGAGATAAAATTAAATAATAAATATTCAAAACAAAATACATATAACAATAAAAAATTTAAGAATCAAATTTGATATAATCAACAAATAATATGATATTTTTAAATTTTTTATAATTTTTAAAAAATATTTTCAACCTAAATTTTATAGGAAAATACTTTTTTAGAAACTAAGCCAAAATTTTTTTGGCTAGAAAATATTTTCTATTGATCAATTTTTTTAATAATAAATAAATATAAAAAAATTTAAATAATGATTTTTCAAAAATCATCTTCTAAAACCAAATATGTCCCAAAAAAATATATTCTCACAGTTAAAAAAAAAAGCACAGGAATAAAAAAATTATCTTAAAAACATGTTTTTTACTCAAGATTTCGGATCATTGACATTTTTATAAATATTTATTTTCATTATTATAAAATTAAATAAAAATTTATTTTAAATATCTCCTGTCACCGTCAGCGTGCAAAAAGCTTGTTTACATTTTTTATAAAGAGAGAAGAGAGTGGCAAGCATTAAATTAAAGTAAATAAAATATAAGATGGTCAACTCTCCAAGCCATTTAACCAACCTCCTCCTCCTTCTTCTAGTTCCGAGTCCTGACTGCCCCGAGAAAATAAACCAAAAAAATATTACACCCGTATGAAACTGATAGTGATGGCGAGACGAAAAGTAATCAGTGCCCACTGCCCCACTCCCAAAGCAACTGTTGCTCTATATTAAAATATCAGTCATGTGCTACAGGTTAATCATTCATTCAGACTCATAATCTCTCAAGACTTTAGAGTGTCGATTGTCTTCCCTTGCGCCAGGTGAGTTAGCGGAGCGTTGACCGATTTCTGTACGTTTGTTAACTACTCCAAATTCATGGGTTACTTTATGTATACATGTTTTCTTTCTTCGGAGAGTATGGCTGAGTGTCACACATGAAACATCAACCTGTGATTCTTCTGCTCTGGGCTTGGTGAAGTAGCTGGGGAATACATTCCAGCACTTACCTTGATCATTGGGGGGGTAGGTGACCAGAACATAAAAGGGCAAAAAGAGAAGGCCAGCTGCTCCTCTTCTGGGCCGGCAAAGTTGCAGTCATCTTGCTCTACTTTCCACTTTCTTCCTAATGATATCATCTCTTGTGATAGATATCTTTTTTAATTAATTAATTAATTTATTTGCAGTAGTAGAACTAATTATTAATGAACTTTATGTAAATAGGCAGCATGATTAAGCTCCTGCTGCTGCTGCTTCTCGCTCCCACTGTGAACTGTCATCATTCACCAGCTGTTAATGAGTCATAATAATAATTGCTGTTTTTAATGCTCAATTCTAGCCCTTTCTTGGTGGTTCCTGTCCCCACTCCCATCTACAGGGCAATTCAGTATATGTTATACTGTTCCTTTCATTTCCCTTCCCCTCCCTTCCTAACAAATAATATTCACCTAATCCACGAGTCACTGTGGGCCGTCCATTTCTTTTTCTCCTTTCGTTGTTTTCTTTAATGCATCGATAGTTGACACTCAAGATTGTTTTTAGGTTACTACATGCGAATTTGTTGTCTTGTCTTGCCGTTAGGCTAGAGGATTTTCTTCTCTTTTTTTTGTAGGGCTAGGAGAGAGGTCTTTTGCTTGATTGTTTGTGCTCTAGCTCCTCCTACCAAAATTTATGATGACGGTGATGTGTTATATGCGCTACTTAACTCCCTCCATGCTTTAACTAAAGTTGTAGGCTTCGAATTTATACATCTAAAAAGTTTTTACTAAAAAGGTAATCCTAAGTCGACTGCCGCTACTAGTATCACTTCCTTTTACAAAGTTCTTCCAGTTTTGTTCAACATGTGATCTCATCTTGCACTTTTCATCTCTGTCTCTGTTCATTGCTCTGCTTGCTTCTTTGTTTGCGATTTTCTATAGGCCGGCTAAACTAACTTCTTGCAACAGAGCAGAAACAGTAAATGTCCGGTCCTGATAGGCGCTCTTTCTCTTCTTCTTGTCCCTCTATTTCACATCCGAGCTCCTCAAGGTTAGTAATCTCTTTAATTCCTGCTATGCCATGCCACCACATGTTGGCCCAAACTCAAAAGACCTTTTAACTTGCTTTATTCGCAGTGTCCCAGACAGTGATATGCTTAACGGAGTGCTAAACATGTCACCCAAACTGTCCCTTCTTTCGAATTCTGTAAGTATCCATCACATGGTGTTTTAATGTTCATTAATCTTACTACTTCGCAATCAATATAGAATCTGTAAATCAGTCATCCTCCTTGCTATTATATCCATGCAAATGTCATTTACTCCGTGAAGAAGGCTTACAAAATGTTTTTGATTCAAGTTTCACCTCACTTTCCAACACCATCAGAGTGCAATCTTAGGCTCTCTTTATGGAATTGTCTGTGTTAGGAAATTAGGGATCTCATTTTACTCTCAAGACAGAAGTTCTGTCGACTCAATTACCTTCTAATGTGATTGATGGACCCACTACCTTGTTTACCGATGTCTACAAGATCAAAAGCAGTGCTCATTTCGAAAGTATTACTCAGCCAGGTATCTTCTTTATATTTTGACAGATTGCAAAGTTGAAGAGCACAGTGTCTCGCGAGGCTTCACTGAATTGGGATTCTGAGAACACAGTGGGTTGTAGTTCCATCATATCTATTCCTAGCGATCACACCCCAACGCCAAAGGTTCAGTATTATATAATCATGTAATGCCAATTTTTAACTGGAATTATGCATATGTGATAATATTAGCAATCCAAACTATATGGTGGAGCGTTATATTCAGGATCGGATATCATAAGAACTAGCCAACGGTGTTTAATTAAAGGGAATAAAAACGAAAAAAAACGAAGAAGTGCTAGAAATGATTTAATTCTGTTTTGAAATATCTGGTTAGAATCAGCTAATATCTCAAAATGGATGCTGTCTTTTCTTTTTTGCTTATTTTCCTGGATATAATTTTGACCTCGTTTTTCTTCAGTCTTCTGCTGTACTGAGGAAGGAGATTGCCACACTAGAGGCTGAAATATTGCATCTGGAGCGTTATCTTCTTTCACTGTATCGTACAGCTTTCAATAAGCAGCTACCTGCTTTATCAAATGTGACTACAAACCATTTGCAATACAAGACAGGATCGCCATTACAAGTTCAATCGCCTCACAACTTAAAAGTACATCAACAGACGAGTGATATTATCCACCATGATCAAAGTTCCCCTGCACATGGTTGGTCAGGACCATATAGTCAGAGTTGCACTGCTAGCTTACAGTCAACATCTACAAGGGTAACTAGCCTGATCACCAGGATCTCTTTAAAACAGCTACGTTGTTCACATCACTTTGCACAACTACATGTGATTTTGCCAGAAGATGCAATTTGTGACAATCAAATCGAAATTTCTATTGAGCATTTTCAGGAGCAGAAGAATGTTGATTCTGGTCGTCAGAGCCTTGCAGATCACCTCCGTGCTTCTTGCTTGGTTAACGATCTTGGCATTCCTGATAGACTCTCTGAAGACATTGTGAGATGCATATCTTCCATTTACGGCAGACTTTGCAACCCCCTTCATAGCCAATTAGGCTTGACAGCTTCTCCTACTTCATCCCTGTCATCCTCTAGTATATTTTCCTCTCGTAACCCTTCTGATAACTGGAGTCCGCATTGCAATGGAGATGCTATGTTTCAGCGTCAACTTCAAGGGTTGAAAGGAGAGAGCGGACCATATGATACAATGCTTGAAGTTCTGAACATTTATCTAGATGATGCTAGTTTCAATTATGCTGCCACCATGCTAAAAAATTTCAGGTGGTCAGAATATGCCTTTTCTATCACATTAGTTATCTAAAATGATTGATCATATTAATTGCGTTCTTGGTAGCTTCATGTTTTTATATGTTCTATAGGAATTAGCCTGGGCCAACTTGCAATCAAGGGTAGTGGGTTGTTTTGTTAAATCCTTACTGTTGGCTTACGAGGTGGCAGAATGGGTTTTTAATCATCTGATATTTCACTTCTTTGTAAAGATCAACATCAGAGGAGTTATTTTCCAAAATTTCTCGCTTGCTTTGTATTGCTGTACAGGTCACTGGTTCAAAGGCTTGAGAAGGTGGATCCAAGGAAGTTGAAGCGTGAAGAGAAGCTTGCGTTTTGGATTAACATTCACAATGCCTTGGTCATGCATGTGTGTGGACTAGCAGTTTGAATATTCTTGAACTCTCACTTACAATAAGTAACCTGTAGTATGAAATAGAATAATTTTGTAGATAGAACGAAAGAACAAAAGTGAGTTGCTCATGTGATAGCAAACCATTATTCTTTATAATTTCTTGTAAATAATCCACATCAAATGCCAAAGCTTCCACATGATATGAGCTTGTCTTTTAAACAATGTGAAAGTACAGAAACAACTAGTGGATGATCCATACTTTGCTTTTCGACCCAGATGATAGTGATTCTCATGTCTCATTTAATGGGCTTTATAATTCTCAAGGAACAACCTGTGATAACATGCTTGTTGAATCATCTATAAATGTGCAATGACATATCTACCTTTATTCACCCAGCTAGTGTTTTGCACATTGATACCATTATTGCTGTTGTTCTCAATGCATATTAGATGTGTGCTTATGAGGTTTCTTGGCAGGCATATTTAGCATATGGGACTCATAATCGGGTGAAAAGTGCATCCATTTTGAAGGTAAAGAATGTTGACATCAATATACCTATCCTATCTGTTTTTGTCATGAATCTTATTCTGTACATGTGTCATCATTGTATTCACTTCTTTCAGGCAGCATACAATGTGGGTGGACAATGCATCAATGCGTGCGTTATACAAAGCTCCATCTTGGGCATTCGGTCACACTACTCAGAACCAGTATGTCTTTCACTTTAAAAACCTAATAGCAGTTGTAGACTAATCATATCCGTAGATTTTCTTGCATATATACTGAGAAGGGGTGTGTGATTGTGTTGTGAACGAATAAACAGAGAAATTGTTAGGGAAAAAAATGCATACATAATGGAAAACATCTGGTTACATGGTGTATGTTCCTCTGTGTTCTTTCAGTTTTTGGCTCCATGGCGTGAATGATCAAAATGCCTTGGTTTAGAGGGTATTAAGGCAACTTTAGGATGGAGGAGGGTGTTACATAAACTGATGTGATGCAGAGTTTTGAAAAGAGTTTAAGTTAATAGCATTATCTTATGGTACGCTTGGCTAGTATCTATGGTAGGCCGACAATGTTTTCTTGAAATTTAAATTCAAGACTGTAAGGAGGTGTCTTGAGCATTTGAACAGTCTGCACTGTGAATTCAAACCAAACAATCCTGATTAAGCATTAGTTTTAGCTGCCTAATGAATGAGCCTAGTCATTTTATTTAAGAAAATAGAGTTTGCAAAGTAAACAGAAAATCTATTCATAGTTATTCTTATTTAAATAAGCAAGATATGTTCTTTGAAATTTTCAATTGTCTTATTTGCGTTTCTTAACCCTCATGAATGCAGTGGCTACAAGCATTGTTTTCTCCAGGAAGGAAATCTAAGACAGGGAATATCAGGCATGTCTATGCCTTGGAATACCCAGAGCCACTCGTTCATTTTGCGCTTTGTTCAGGGGCATATTCTGATCCAGCAGTATGAATAATTCATTTCAAACACATCACAATTTCTTAAATCCATTAATTAGAACAGTTGTATACGTCCAGTCATGGCTGAAGTGAACTGATCAATACAACTTCTTTTGTTTGATCAATTTAGGTTCGAGTTTACACAGCAAAGAGTATCTTTCAGGAACTCAAGGTTGCTAAAGAAGAGTTCATTCAATCCAAAGTTTTCGTGCACAAGGAGTCAAAGATTTTCCTACCAAAAATACTCTGGTACTTTGGGAAGGACATGTCAATAGACGCGGATGGGGTGATTGAGGTGATAAGTGAGTGCCTGACAGAAGGGCAGCTGAAGGCTATGAGGAAATGCACGAGGGGGAAGGCTAACAAGAGCATCCATTGGTTGTCACAAAGCTCATCCTTTCGGTATGTGATCCATGGAGAATTAGCAAAAGGGAGAACAATGGTCTGATCAAAGAACACTGCTACTGCCTGTATAATACATGTCTGCAAATTATCATTTTTTTCCCCTGAACAAAATAACGAGCGAATGTTGTATAGAAACTAGAAAGTGTTAGTGGAATTGTAGAGGTGGTTTTGCGAATCTACAATGGAACCACCCGGTAAATTAACGTAAGTGTAATTATTAAGGAAAATTCTATTTTTTTTTAAAGAACCATGGTCTGTGTGTGTTTGATTGCAATTAATTAAGAGTGAGCACTAGCAGTATTGACTTTTAAATATAGCGGTCGGTTGGGAAAATGGTTGGCTGGCACAAGGCTGTGTTTGGAATTGGATAATTATTGCCTTGACCGGGCTCTCCTCCCATGTTCATAGTTAACTCGGAGAGGGACAGGTATTCATTCATTTACAAGATGAGTGGAGTGGCAGCCACCTGTTTGGTTGGACCGCCTTTTAACTCCCTTTCTTGAGGAAAGACCCGTTAAAAAGGGGCTACGTTCTTGCACACCGTTGTTATTATTAATCTCAGTTGCTCTCCCTATAATCGACAGGGATAGAAATTTAACAGATTCTCTTTGGGTGTTCTGTTCTCTACAAGTTTCACAATGGTAAGGACGACGTTGCTATTATTTTAGGAGAATATTAACGCAATCTGTTTCTGTTTCTGTTTTCTGAATATGCAATTGATCCGTTAGATCGTGTCTATCTTTACCTGGAGTGCCATTAATGGAAAGAAAAAAACACGAAAAATCAAAGAGTTCAAATGGTGTTGAGAGTTTACACACAGTGCGTCTACTACTTGTCTAGGCATTAATTAATTAATTAGCCTGTTGTTTTCCAGATTCACTTCGTTCTTCTTGTCAGTCGCCAGGGAAAGGTGAGGTTGGCCAAATGGTATTCCCCTTATACTCTGAATGAAAGATCTAAGGTAACCAGCTATTATATACAATAAATTCTCCTTGGATCTGTAGTGTTATGATAGACACACTGTTTTTTATACATACACGTAAATTTGAATTAGATCATCATGGATGCAAAACTCAATTTGTTAAGGATTGGACAGGTAATCCGAGAGCTGAGTGGCATCATTCTAAATCGGGGTCCCAAGCTTTGCAACTTCGTGGAGTGGAGAGGATTTAGGGCTGTGTATAGAAGGTTATATGTTTCGCAGAATGTTATTATGATGTTAAGACTGTACTAGTAATTGTGATTTATGAAATTAAGCCGATGCGTGCAGGTATGCTGGCCTCTATTTCTGCATGTGTGTTGATGAGAAAGACAACGAACTGGAGGTTCTTGATATCATTCATCATTATGTGGAGATACTGGATCGTTATTTTGGCAGTGTAAGCAAGCCTGCTGGCTGGCTAGCTAGCTCCTAGCCACCTGAACCCAGTGAATACTTATATACGCATGCATACTACGTCCTAGAAACATTTACTCCTATCCCCTTGTATAATTTCTTAATTATCAGGTTTGTGAATTGGACTTGATCTTCAATTTCCACAAGGTAACATTCTCTTCATCTTCGTTTTTCCTTGAAAACATGATCACAAGTGGTGGTAAATCTCCTGTAGTGTGCCAATTAAAACAAAGAAAAGTGTGTGGAGGGAGTTGAGTCGTGCATTCTTAAACATCCCAAAGCTGAAAGAATAATAATGGAAATAACACGGCAGAGCGCGCGTGCATGCAGGCGTATTATATTCTGGACGAAATCTTGATAGCCGGTGAGCTTCAAGAGTCGAGCAAAAGATCAGTGATACGGCTGGTGTGCACACATGTATACATGCCCTCCTTGCTTCGATCTCTCACACCATAATAGCCCTCCATGTTTTGCTCTTGATTAATGAATCTTGAACGCAGGATTCGTTGGTGGAGACGGCCAAGGAGCAGGCCAGCTCTTTAAGCAGTGTGATTGCACAAGTTACCAAATAACAGGACCAAATCTTTATCAGCAGTACTGTGTTACCACATCAGCATAAACATTCTTATTTTCTCCTTATCTATCTTCATTGATACTTGTTTGATTCAGCACTGTACGTTGTTAATTGGTACCCATGGACTCCTGACTATCTGTTTCGGAAGGAGTTGATCGGTGAGACCATGTGAAGTGCCCATGCCATCAATTACATTACGGATCTCTTCCACTTCGGATGCCACTACTGCCTCAGCATTGCTTTTAGCTACACTACTTGGGTTCAAGACAGGAGACATGAAAATATATAATCATGATATGTTCACGTGTTTTTTCTGTCTTAAAATGAGAAAATTAATTCCACCAATAAATATTTTATCTTTGTAATTAGCCAAACACGTTTATTTCCTTTTTACACCTACTTCTTCTATCCTTTAGCATTAATCAAACTAATAAAACCTTAAAACAAAAAGGACAAGTTACATTATCAATCTCTTTTCATATATATATTTCTTATAAAGTGGGTTTCAACCTCCGCCTCAAGAGGATTTGTTTCCAGTGAAGTGGTAGGGTGTATTTGATTTTAAAAAAAAAACATTAATTTAAATTCTAAATAAAATAAGATTTATAAAAAAAAATATAAAACTAAATCAAAAGGAGATCCTCTTATTTGCCACAATAATCTCTCTTGAAATTATTAATTAAAAAAATATACAGATGTTAACATGAACTTTATTTTGTTCTTTTCTTCCAATAACTCCTGGCAACATATAACTTTTTCTTTCCCCTCTACTTGACACCAATCCTTGTCACACTTCTTTATTCTTTTATTTTCTTTAAGATACATGTATTTTATATCATTTTAAATAGACATAAGAATCATTGTAACAAAAAGTAGTAATTTATATAAAAAATTATTTCTAAATTAAGAATAAAATAGTTAAGATTGTCAGGTATTTTAAACCATAAAACTATCATGAATTATAATTAAATTTAATTCAGCATATATTCCAAGGTATGAATTAAGAAGAGTTTGTTCGTAACACGCTCAAAAATTCGCTTTTATTATTTTATTTTTTATCATAGCAAACGAAAAAGAAAAAGAAATAAAATCATTTTTCATTGAAAATCGGGCGGGTCTGGATGTTGACGTGGCATAGCCATAAAACCTCTTTTCTTTTGTTCTCTCTGGAATATTTTTTTTCCCTGTATAGGGTCAGGTAGAGGCACAGCGAGTGAAAAGCAAAGAGAGTGAAGAAAGAAGACGAACGCAGCGTAAAGAGGGGTTTAGGGTTTTCCTCCCAAAATGCTGAAATCGGTCTGTGTTTGATTAGTCTCTCTCGTGCTCCAAGCAGAATACGTGAAATAATAGCAATTGTAATTAGAACTTGACGGTTGCTTTAATACGTTTCAGGGAGAAGAACAAGAAGAGGATTTAGAAAAGCAAAGAGCTGCAGCTGTGGAGTTGAGAGAGTTAGAGAAGTTAGTAGAAGCCAATCCTGATGACCCCTCTCTTCGATTCAACCTCGTAATTATCAGTTTTTCATTTAATTTTCCTGCTTGGTCAGAAGCTTTTCCAGAAAATAATGATGCATCGATTGATTGCAGGCAGTGTATTTGTGGGAAAGATGCGAAATCAAGGAGAAGGCAGCAGAACATTTTGTTGTAGCAGTGAAACTGAACCCTCAGAATGCAACTGCTTTCAAATATTTGGGTCATTATTACTACGAGAAGGAGAAGGTCAGGGCTCTCAAATGCTACCAGAGGTCTGTCTCCCTCAACCCAGACGATTCTCAAAGCGGAGATGCACTTTGTGATATGTTGGACCAGACTGGAAAGGAGACCCTGGAGCTCTCTCTCTGCACTGAAGCCTCTCAAAAATCACCAAGAGCCTTTTGGGCTTTCAGGAGACTGGGTTACATTCACCTCCACCATAATAGATGCTCTGAAGCTGTTCATACTCTTCAGCATGCCATTCGAGGTTTTCCCACCTCTCCTGATTTATGGGAAGTATGTTCCTCTTCCACACCCCGTCTTTTTCTTCCTTTTCAGTTTACCTGCTTTTCGTTACCATTATATTTAATCTCGTTTTTCTATCTGTAAAGGCTTTGGCTCTTGCCTACCAGAAACTTGGCATGTATACTGCTGCTACTAAGGTACGCTTCCTCTTTGTACCCTTCTCCTACTATTTGACTCTACACTCTTGTGATTTCATTTTCAAATTAATAATGCCCGTAATCACTGGCTGTCCTACTCGCCACAACAATTTGACCAGTCTTATGGACGAGCCATTGAGTTGGAGGATAGGAGAGTTTTTGCTCTCATTCAAAGTGGAAATATCTTCTTGACGCTCGGAAATTTCCGAAAGGTACTCTTCCTTTGTTTAATTTTCAATACTTGAACTACTGAGGTTTCACAGTGCTCGGTTTCTTATGTTCATACAAGTACGTTTCCACTGCTGGAGAATGAACACGCATAGACCTTTCAATTTGATGGCTTATTACATCTTTTATTAGAATAGAATGCGCTGAGGCATTATTTTTGCATGCATTTATTTCTTAATAAAACATATCATTAATTATATCCAATCATGCTTGTGAGAAAAGACGTGTCTCATTTATGTGTCTCCTTCAATACAAAATTCCTTTATTTATTCGGAGGTGATTGATGATATGTGATAATGCGGTCTTCTGCAAAAGGGAGTTGAGCAGTTTCAGCGAGCTTTGGAGATCTCACCTCAAAATGTGTCTGCAAACTATGGGTTAGCTTCTGGACTCCTTGCTTGGTCAAAGGAATGTATGAATATGGGTGCATTTAGGTGGGGAGCTTCATTGTTAGAGGTTGGTCAGCATGACTTCAAATAATCGTGTCTCGGACATTTTTGTGATGTCAATATGAAAATATCTAACTTTTGGTTCCTAAAACGACCACAGGATGCATGCAAGGTTGCTGATAAAATTGCTCAGCTGGCTGGAAATTTTTCATGTATCTGGAAATTGCATGGTGACATTCAGGTGAGCCTCTCTAAACTTCACCAGTCTCCGCCTCTTTAATGCCTCAACTGTTCAATAATACTTACTTCTTTCATATTTACTGATTTCAAATTTAAATACCACTAATTTCTGGCCTCTGACCAAGTAACAATGAAAGATGGACTTTTTTCACCAGAGTAGTTTAAAGTTTGAATTTACTAGTTTGAAATGTGTGAAAACTGTTTGGCTTTAAATTCTGAATTCACCAACATCTTTCATTGTTATATGTTTTTGTTTGGTAGTGGTATTGTTGTTGTGAATGTAGTTCTGCCCACCTCTGCTGCTGCATTGCTTCTTGTTGAGTAAGAGAATGATGATACCTTTTATGGAATTTCCTGGGAAGTAGAGCGTGGGAGAGGAGGATAGGCTATTTGAATTAGTCTGTTGTCATTTGTTTTGTTAAAGAACTTTTGCACATGCAGTTTTTTGGTAAAATATGTTTGCAATGTGTTTTGCACCCTAATTCAATATCCAGGTTTGTTTACCAAATTTAATAATTCAGGCATGTCTCTTTCCTTGCTAGCTTAACTATGCAAAGTGTTTTCCATGGATGAAAGATGATCAGAGTGTAGAATTTGATGTTGAGACTTTCCATGCTTCCATCCTTACCTGGAAGCAAACTTGCTATTTGGCCTCCACACTTGCCAAAAGGTCGTACCAACGTGCTCTGCACTTGGCTCCATGGCAAGCTAACCTTTATATTGACATTGGAATTGCTTCAGATCTCATTTCTTCTATGAATGAGAATTATGGGCACGACCAGCATCCTTGGTATGATTTGGGATTATATTGTTTTGTTTATCTTCTATTCTTACCATAAATTTTCTCTCTGAACTTACTATTGTTTTCACCAGGCAGCTATCGGAAAAGATGGTTCTGGGGGCCTTGTTACTCGAGGGTGACAATTATGAGTTCTGGGTGGCACTGGGATGTTTATCTGGTCATAATGCCTTGAGACAGCATGCCTTGATCAGGGGATTGCAATTGGATGTCTCCTTAGCTATTGCTTGGGCATATCTTGGGAAGGTACTTGCATAAATCTCATAATTAGATCCCCCCTCTCTGCTCTCCTTCTCATGTGGTTCCATTTTATCATGTTTGGACTTTACTTCTTTACTAATAGAACATACTATTACGCTTTTGTTGCCTTGTACATGCTACATTAGCCTGACTCTGGAGTTTGCACTTGCCTGAATGCCATGTGAATTCCCCAGCTTGGGGCCTTTGGCACTATTGGCATTATAAATACAGAAAAATCTGGATATATATGATACTGGTGGCGTTGTCAAAAAAATTCCTAAATTCCTGGTCTATACAGCTTTACAGAGAAGAAGGAGAGAAGAACTTGGCAAGGTTGGCATTTGATTGCAGCAGAAGTATAGATCCTTCACTTTCATTGCCATGGGCTGGCATGTCAGCTGATAGTCAAATTAGGTAGGTTTCTAAATTGTATAGTATTAAATGTATGTTTTATGGTGATATAAATCCCTAAGTAACACAAATGGTGCATTGTAATTCAGGGAGTTGACACCAGAGGAGGCTTTCGAGAGCTGTTCACGAGCTGTGCAGATACTTCCTGTAAACATCTAATAATTTTATGCTCTTTGAATATGCTTTAAGAGAAAGGAATTTTGCATTTAATGTATGAGTTGCACATCCTTTAATGCTACTTGGTTATGGTGGTTATCTCATTGCAGTGGCATGATCTGTTCAAATCATTTCTTTGATTGACAGGTTGCAGAGTTCCAAATTGGTCTTGCTAAACTTGCTTTGATTTCAGGGAGCCTTGCGTCTTCACAGGTACTATAATTTCTAATTACACATGAGAAATTTGCCTCTTTTGAAGAAATATGTTTTCATCTGTATTTCAAATCAACTGGGCAACTTGCTTAGGAAGCTGTCGCTTCTACAGGTTTTTGGAGCCATCCGGCAGGCAGTCCAGAAAGCCCCTCACTATCCTGAAACTCATAACTTGCACGGTCTAGTTTGTGAGGCACGATCTGAGTATCAGGGTGC